GTGTTTCACCCAGCAATAACAGAATCCCACATTCTTCTGAGCTGCACATGGAACAGTCCACAAAATAGACCACACACTAGCATAAAGCATGCTTAAGTAAATTCAAAGGAACTGAAATAATCCCACGCATACTATCTGACCATAGTGTACGAAACCGGAAATTATTGACAAGAAACTATGAAAACAATATAAACACATGGAAATTAAATAACAATTTCCTAAACAACCAGTAGGTCACAGATGAAATTAAGGAAAAAATTAAAAAACATTTACAATCAAACAAAAATACAGATGAAACTTACTGGAAACTGGAATAGAATCAAAGCTATCACATGAGGGAAATTTATAGCGATAAATTCGCTTATTTGGAAAACAGAACAAGCCCAAATAAATGATCTTATGCTAAATCTCAAATGCCTAGAAAAAGAAGAACAAGTGAAGCCCAGAGCTCAAAGAACACAAGAAATTATAATGATTAGAGCACAAATTAATGCAATGGGGATGAACAAAACAATATAAAGAATTAATGAATCGAGCCAGCAAGATAGGTCAGCAGACTAAAGTACCAGCTTTGGCAAGCTCAGGGACCTCAGGTCAATGCTTGGCACCACATGCTATGCCAGCCCCACCCCCAGAATGGGCTAAGCCAGCCAGAGTCTGGGTGTGGTGGTACACACCTCTAATCCCAGTGCTGGGGAGTCTGAAAGCAGGAGGATCACCACAAGTCCAAGCTGTGTAGTGAGACCCTGCAACAACCAAATACACCAAAATAAATAAATAAATAAATGAATCACAGAGCTGGTTCTTTAAAAGAATAAAAAAATTGATAAACACTTTAAAAAAGTGATAACACACTTTAAAAAAAAAGAAAGAAAGAAAACCCTGAAATCTGTGCAATAAGGAATGAAAAGGCTAAAATAATTGCAGACACTAGAGAAATTCAGAAGATCATCAGTACCTACTTTCAAAATCTGTACTCTCATAGGATGGAAAACAGAAGAAATGAGCAGTTTCCTAGATACATATGAAATGCCAAAGCTGTTAAGAAGATATGGAAACTCTGAATAACCCAATAATAGGAAACAAAATTGAAAACGTAATAAAAAAAATTATCACCAAAGAAAGACCCAGGTCCTGAAGGATTTACAGCTGAATTTTCCAAGAAATTTAAAGAAGATATAATGGCAACTTTTCTCAAACACTTCATTGAAATTGAAAGGAAAGCTATTCTCCCAAAATCATTCCTGGACGCAAGCATTATTCTCAAACCAAAATCAGAGAGAGAACCAACTAAAAAAGAGAACTACAGGCCAATCTCTCTAATGAATGCACATGCAAAAATCATCAATAAAGGGCTGGGAAGATGGCTCAGTAGAATAAGTGCTTACCTGGTAAGCATAAGGGCCTGAGTTCAATCCCCAGTTCCTCAAAAAAAAAAAAATCATCAGTACAATATTTGCAAGTAATGCAGCAAATCATCAAGAAGATTCAGGGATGATTCAACATATGCAAATCAATAAATGTAATACAGCCCACTGATAGAGCCAAGAACAAAAACTGCATGATCATCTCAACAGATGCAGAAAAAGCTTTTCACAAAGTCCAACACCCATTCATCAGAAAATCCAAGTAGATGGTCTGTATCTCAACTTGATAAAATCCAGCTATGAGAAACCAATAACCAGTATCACACTAATTAGACAAAAACTGAAAGCCTTCACTTTAAATTCAGAAACAAGACAAGGATGTCTACTATCCCTACTCCTATTTAATATAGTTCTGGAAACATTAACTAAAGCAATTAGACAAGAGAGAGAAATAAAATTAATAAGGACTGGAAAACAAGAAGTAAAATTATCATTATTTGCAGATGGCATGATACTCTACATAGAAAACCCAAAAACACCAACAGTCTTACAGATTTAATAACCAAATTAAAGTAACACACAGGATACAAAGTAAACACTAAAAAATCAGTAGCAGTTTTGTACATAAACTATGAACACACTGAGAGAGCAAAGAGGGAAACCACACCTTTCACAATAACAACCAAAAAGGAGAAATACTTAGAAATCAATCCCACAAAGGAAATAAAAGATTTATACAGTGAAACTTATGGTATGCTGAGCAAAGAGATTGAAGAGGATCTGAGAAAATGAAAAAATATTCCTTGCTCCTGTATAAAAGAACCAACACTGTGAAAATGGCCATAGTCCCAAATTGTTATATAGATTCAATGCAATCCTGATTAAAATGCCATTAGTTTACCTCACAGAGCTAGAGTAAACATTCCTAAAATTTACCTGGAACCAGAAGAGACCAAGAATATCAAAAGCAATCCTGGGAAAAAAAGAGGAAAGGCAGGAGGCATCACAATCCCTGACATGAAATTACACTATAAAACTACTGTAATAAAACCACGATGGTACTGGCATCAAAACATACCTGAGGATCAATGGAACAGATAAGAAGATGTAGACACAACTATAAACACATTCAGCCACCTTATCTTTGACAAAAGGGCCAAACATATTCACTGAAATAAAAATAGCCTCTTTAATCAATGGTGCTGGAAAAACTGGCTTTCCACATGCAACAAGGTAAAATTAGACCCATATTTACCATACACTAAATTAGACCCAAATTCACCATACACTAGACTATAGTCAATAATGGATTAAAGATTTAAACATTAAAACGGAAACACTAAATATCCTGGAGGAAAATGTAGGTAGAAAGTTTAAAGACACAGGAGTAGTTAGAGAGTTCATAAAGAAAAACCAAATTGCACTGGAAATACTTCAAAGAATCAACAACTGAGAGCTCATCTTCCTGAAAATTTTCTGCACTTGAAAAGAAATTACCAAAAGAGTAAAAAGAAAGCCCACCAACTTGCAAAAAATTATAGCTGAATGTCCCTCTCACAAAAACCTTCTATGTAGAACATATAAAGAATTTTTTAAATGAGGCACCCAACATTCAAAGACCCAATCCAAAAATCAGCATCTGAGATGAATACACATGTCTCAGATGAAGAAATACAAATGACAAGTAAATATATTTTTAAATGTCCAACATCATTGGTGATTTGAGAAATGCAAATTAGCACAACACTGAGATTCCATTTACCCCAGGAAGAATGGCTATCATCACTAATTCAACCAGCAATAAATGTTGGAGAGGTTTTAGGGAAAAAAATCCCTTCTCCACTGTTGGTGCGAGTGCAAGCTGGAACAATCATTATGGAAATCAGTTTGGAGGTTCCTCAAAAGCTTAGGATTGGAGGTCCCATTAAACCCAGCTTTTAAATCCCTGGGTATTTTTCCAGAAAATTAAAAAGTTCATACCACAAAGATTTATGTTCACGCATGTTTCTAGCAGAACAATTTGTCATAGCTAAATGTTGGAAGCAACCCAATTGCCCATCAATTGAGGAATTGATAAAGAAGATGTATTTTTACACAATGAAGTATTACTCAGCTATAAAAAAGGTAAAATTGAGGCTTTTATATGTAAATGGATGCAACTAGAGGTCATACTCTTAAGTGAAATAAATCAAACCCACATGTGCAAAGATCATATTATTTCCTCAGTGTGACAACCTGAAAAAGAAAATAAAATCTGAAGGGTAGCATAGATGCTGGGAAAATGGGATGAACCTGTTCAAATGGAAGGAATTGCTGAGTTGAGGAGGAGGACTAGAGAAGGAGTGGGGAACAAGATATATCTATCTATGTAAACAAAATGTTTGGGACAACTGTACTGTGCATTTCTGCTGGTCTATAGAAAGAGCAGTTAATCC